GACAATATGGTACAACTGTTTCATGTTTGCAGGAGACATGATCATTTTTTTTGCTGTGTGTTGGAAAAAAAAATCACATAGGGAGTTATGATAAATAACCCTCCTTATGAACTTATGTCTTCTTCATATTTTAACAGCAAACACTTTGCATCTTTGCATATGTCACACCTTTGACAGCACTCCCCTAAAGGATGAATTTCTCTGAAACTCACAGAAACTAACCTCCCCCCACTCACTTACACACACACACATCAATCATTGGCAACTATTAATACAGATTTAGCTGTTGAAACTGGTATAAAGTTGGATGTAGGGCTAATTTTGAAAGGAAAATGTGTCCAATAGTAGCGCGTCATTGTGCAAATGGTTAACTTTTACATGATGGCTTTACTTACAAATTGCTGTGGTGTTACTATATATACAGTTCAGATGTTTTAACCTGAAATTCTTTCAGCCAATATTTCAAAGAAACCATAGTGATTTAATTATTTTTCCCTTTAAGTTGACTCATAACTTCAATGGGAACAAATAATGTTTCACTTTCTCACTGGCAAGCATTTCATCTGGATTATCATTCTCATTTCAAAAATAAACTCTTTAAATGTTCTGTAAAGAGAATTAAGTACAAAGAAAGCACTTTCCCTCACTTTGTAATCAGGTTAGGTCATGGCAGCTGAAACTGTTGCTTACCTTGGCACCAGGTAGCCCTTCAAGCCCGGGTAATCCCATGGCCCCTGGTTCCCCCTGTGAGAGAAAAACACACCACCTGCTGTGTCAAGACAAAAAAGTCACTTCTGATGTAGACTAAAGTTTGTTGGTTCACCCTTTCTGCAACAAAGAATTATGCTATTTTTGTCTACACAGTCCTTAATAGGAGGACAAGTGAGGTGATGAGCTACCAGAATGTAAAAAGTGTCATTATAAGGCTGTCAGTAAACATTAGGCATGAACAAGCAAATACAGATGAAAGCTACATGAAGGCGAGTAAATTAAATTCTGCAGAATCCAAGATTTCACACATTTCCATCTCCCTTCTTGATATTCTCGGTCAGGTATTAGTACAGCCCTTCATGTGTCAATATGAAGATAATCCTAAGAGGACAATACTTCAACCTGAGCGTATTATATTATATGATCTATGACACGTGCTGTCACACCTTGTGGGCTACAGATGGGATAGAAAAAGAGCCCCATTTGACAAGCACAATCAGACTTGCTTTCTGCACTAAAAATAGAGACCCATTCCCAGTGCTTGAGCAAGTGATGGCCTCTATCTACCTCATCTTGCTCGGGCTGCCACAGAGAAATGCCATTACACAGAATAGAGGGGCAACCGGTATTGACATAGACGGATTGTGCAGGTAATTGTCACACATGTAGATTGTCATGAATAAGCGAGTGCGGCTAAGGGGAGAGTGGGCCAGCCAGAGGATCAGCTGTGAGACGGATTGGGGCAATTCCACCACAGCACTGGAGCTGCTCACACAATTTATTAAAATGTCAAATTAGCATCCTGGTGAAAAATCACTGTGCAACAAAACAATAAAAAATGCAATTGGCCCCGTGGGAATAAAGAATTCAAGTTGATGGCAGAAGCGTGGAATTGTTTCCACGTCTGTGTGGATTGTTTTCGGGCATCAGTATGGGGGGAGGAGGCAGAGAGAGTTCATAGGTTCCCACTGGCAAGACAATATGGTAAAACTGTTTCATATTTGCAGGAGACATGATCATTTTTTTTGCTGTGTGTTGGAGTTCTACTGATAGTGGTTAAGTGCTGAGGCTTGAGGGTGTATTGACTTATGTTGTAGAGGACCACAGAGACAATGATAGAAAGCAACTGGGAACTATCCTTCTCTATTTTTTGGACAGGACAGAAAATAGACAAATATTTGATAAAAAATATATTCCAGAATGAAAAGCTTCAACTCACAGGGGGTCCTTCATCTCCTTTGGGACCCTTAAAAGAGAGAGAAAAACACAGATCAATCCCATGAAGGCGACAACCTCTACCACACAAATCATAAATATAGTCCAACATGACATGTGGCTACTCCATGTTATTGTCAATAAAATGAATGGTATTCATTATTGCTTCTCTTTTCTCGCGATTTCGATCTGTAAATCATGCTTACATCGTGTTATATGTAACTGTAGTCTTTAAAAAGCAAGATTGAAAATGATCAGGATCATATAATCCAGTATGGTTATAACACATGCTTTCTAAACACTGGCCATGCATGTTTAAATGTCCAGTAAAGCATTTCAGCGTTTTTACACACTAAACACAAACAAGGAATAATTGATAAATTGGGCCCCTTGTCTCTCTTAACACTGATGAAGATGCTCTCTCATTGATTCCTCCAGATGAGCTGTTGGGCTGTGATGGATGCAGTACAGGGAAAAGCATCCTCGAGATTTAGCTGTGGTTCATGGGCATTGTGCACTGGGGATATTGGAGTGTCTATTTTATGTCACCATCTTTAGTGTTCGTTGTGGTGGATGGATCCCTGCAAGGCCTGTGAGTGAATGTCTCCTAGGACTAGACCAGATTACAAACTGTCTGATAAGGGGTAGCAGGGGGAGCTGATAAGCAGATCGGGTCACTTCATCTTGGCACCGTGCAGAGCAACTGAACTTCCAAGTCCATTTTGCATATCAGTGATGTTGTGTGTCCTGGGGAGGGTTCAGAGACACCTGTTTGAGAGTCAGGAAGCCTCTTGGCCTTCACCAACCACCATCTCTCAATGAGCATGACTGACTGTGGCCTCTGAAGCCGAGATAACACTGGTCAGCTTATTTGTTATTCAGCTCTCCCAGGTTCTGCGCCTCATACAGTATCAACAAGCCTGTGTGCAATTGTTTCTCCACAGCACACTGTAAAGGATTTGCTTCAGGCATAACAATCATTATGCTTACCGGCGCACCAGGAGCTCCAGGGGGTCCTAAAATAGCTCCACCACTCTGAAAAGACATGTTCTTATGTTATGACTGTATATTTGACAATATAGGTCAATCACTTTAACCACAAGAACAGATTCTTCCCTGGAAATATGATTGAAGGCAATGTATTCAATGCATCACAATGACATTATCACTGAGTTAAAGTCTTTTGTAAAGCCTCTACCTGCAGCTTGTACAGACTGCTCATCCCCGTGGTCTCCACATACGGTACACCCTAAAACACAATCAAAAGTAAATCACTGTTCTGTGAGTTGTAGGCACCAAGAGTCTTCACAGAAAACTGTACAGTAGGTCTGGAGCAGTTATACACTGTTAAGCCCTTAAAAGCTACATGACAGAGATCAATAGCTCATTTGGTGATTACACAAAGAGAGGGGAAGAGAGTGTGAGAGAGTGAGAAGTGAAAAGAACAAGGAAAAACAGAGAATAGTAGACTTAGTCATCCTTGAGCCAGTGGCAATTCAAAAAACAAGAGTATCTCAGAAATACGAAAGAGCACGCTGATTAAAAGAGATTCGGGTATGAGAACTAGGTAATCTAGACTTCTTGGGTAGTATTAGAGCATAAAAGAATGTTTTTCCCATGATAGATTGGTAGAGGGCAACTATTGTAAATGTAGAAGGAGTCAAGGTTCTCATTTAGAAGCAAGCGGACGCCTGTGCCCTTTTCAGGCCACTGAGCCATCCCCTGTCCTCCCAGACTGCAGTTTATGAGACCAGGGTGTGGGGGGGCACGGCAGGTTCAAGGGGACAGCTGATGAATTATAGATTTGCCTTTGGAAGTGCTTACTCACTGGCCTTTTAAAGGGAGGGACCATGATTCAATGCCAGTGAGCAGGTCACCACAATTTCATCATATTTGTACTTGTTTGTCAGTTATGTTTTTCTTCTTACACTAAATACTGTTAGACTGAGCAAAATATAAGTGCACTGATTGCCATTTGAGTACGAAGAGCTGCCAAGGAAAGCTTTTGGCTGTAACCTTTACTTGATCGTGGGAAAAGAAGATCTTTGGATAGTGCTGATAAAAGCAAGAAAAAAAGTGTTTATTTTTTCAATGTGTTCAAGAGTGTTGAATAGAAGTCAGTAACCTTGGTTTGAATGAAGAAAATCAGTTTGTGTAACAAAATAACTTGCAACATATACAGTGTACATATAGAACCTAAGACCCTGACAGCGGTTTTGAGGCTTTTGAGACATCATCTGGCTCTTGTTGAGGCAGGAGGAACTTACCGGAGGTCCTGGAAGCCCTGGTCTGCCCGGTGGTCCTTCATTTCCCTGCCAAACACAAACCAGAGGAATTCTAAAACATGTCTGTGAAAAAGGAAATGTTTATCAAGCACAGGCCCATGCTAATGTAATCCACTGATATGGAACCTCATTTGCCAACCCTGAGAAAAAAAAATCAAAGATTTCTTTAAGAGATATGGTTTCCTACACTTTCATGTTATCTTTATCATCTTTATTACAGGACCTGGAGTCATTTGGTTTTTGTATTTTACCAATCTATCTTCAAAATTTATGATAAAACTACATTTCATGGGGAAAAAGTGTGAAAGTTATTTATACTCCCAGTTAAATCCATTTATTTATTACAACCTTTGAGCCATGGTATTCAGCTAAACATAGCTCAATACTTTGCATGGAAATAGCAAACATAGAGTCATAAGTTCGATTAACTCACACAGTGTGCACATTCATCCACTGTATGCTGTAAATAAAACCCAGGAAGGGATAAGCACTGTCTACATTATATAGAAAATTGCTTAAGTAATAAAACACCTTACTTTTTCTCCTTTTCCACCTGGTTGGCCCAATGGCCCGGGTCTACCCATAAGCCCCTGCAAACAGAACAGCATCCTTATAGTGAAATCTGTCCTCATAAAATAAACCCATGTTGCGATAAAGTAGAGCTGTTAGCATAAAAAGGAACTTTGTGTTCTAAAAAATCAAAGAGTATAATATCAATATCATTCTGTATAATATCAGACCACATGAAGGGCAGGCTTCTTACCGGGGACCCTGTACGACCAGTCACACCAGGAAGTCCTGGTACTCCTACAGGGCCCTGAAGGAGACAAAATGGATCATCAGTAATTACAGTGAGTCCATTTGTAATACTTCCATCTATGAGAGATGGAAATAGGTGATGTGAGCATTACCTAGGCAGGTACTCCAAGGAGTAAGGTGTAATTTATTGGTCTTATTAAACCTGTTTTCTTGATGCCTGGAGTGGTTTTCCAGAAATCCATTAGCAACAACAAGCACAGATGAAATAATACAGCACATAGAGCTTGCAACTCTACTCTAGAGGATGAATTAGAAAGCTATTCACTGCAATGACTACTGGGATTATGTTCATATTTTCTTATCTTCATAGGATCATTGAATATGCACAAACTGTGAAACATTTCAACATGCAGCATCTTTATTAACTAGTTTATGTAAGACATTTCTGTGCTGTTTGTTGTACATTAGAGCTATAAAACATGTTTTTATTGAGCCTATAAAACCTAGAAACAAGTGTGCCTGTTAGCGAAAATCTCCTGCCATTGCAGTTCAATGCTGAAAGTTGACCTATGAAATGCTTCTCAGTTCGTGCTTTGTTTTTTAATTAGCACACACAAACATGCAGGGCAGGATACATTCTTTATAAAGTAGCTCCTCAGAGTGCAAAAGATAGGGCATAGTACACGCAGCACTGTGGATAGCTTTTGATAACTTCTTTTGTTAATGGACTTTTAGAGTAGACAGATTTTCAGATCAGGGAAGACATTACAATATATTTACATTCTTTTGAAAAACCTACCTCTCAATGTCACAGTGTCTTCCAGATGGTTAGATAACTACTGGATTAATTTGTTTAGATTAAACTCACCTCATCACCTTTATCTCCTGTAGGGCCTGGGAATCCTCTCTCTCCTTTTACTCCCTGCAGGAGAGAGAGGTAAAAATGAATGTTTTTCCACCAAACATGAAAAGGCCTAAAACTAAAGGCTGATGGGTGTAAACTTCAAACTGCCTCTTCCTCTCTTACAGCACACGACTTAAAATCACCTAGCCTGTTTCACCATGGTACAAGACTGTATCCATAGCAACAACATCCACAGCGAGCACATACAGTAAGAGAGTACAGAATAATATGGGTTGTGGAACAGCTGGTTAGGCTTCCAGAGATAATCCTAAAGGCAATTTATGAAAAGCGTTTGTCAATGTAAATCCCTATATACTAGATTAAACACATTTTAAATAAACAATATCATTAAATGAGGCTGTTAGTTTTACAGACTCTTTGTCATCTGAGAAGTTGAATAATTCATTTAGATCCCCAAAACAATAACATAATAAAAAATGTGTTTTATTATGTACTGAGTATATTTACGCCTGACATTTCCTCGCCTACCTTTGGGCCTTCTTTCCCAGGGTTACCCATAGGACCTCTTACACCTGGATCCCCCTGTTTAGGTTAGAAATACACAATGAATATGGGTGTAAGCAGACATGCACTCAACGTATTTAATAGGCAACCCCAAGAGGAAATTCAACAAGTGTCATGTAATGCACAGCATCATGGTCAGATAAACATGTTTACAGTGTTGGTTCCAAATTGCCTGTCATGTTTTCGACTCGCTTGTACCTTTTCTCCCACCAGGCCTTCTACTCCTTGTGCTCCAGGGGACCCCTTCTCTCCTTTCTGCCCAGGAAGCCCTGGGATTTTCGTCTGGCACACACTGCAGGCATTCTGCCAGCACAGGCAAAGCAGGAAGGGAAAGTGGTGGCACAGATAAGATTTCATCAAGCTGAGCTGGAGCACTGCATTTTCGCCCTTTATTATGTCACATCCCCTGGGTGGAGGACAAGACCCCAACTGACACAAAGTGTTCTCTAAATGTCTGCAGAGCAGAAATAGTGTGAACCCACCAATAGTGTCTCTCATCTAGGAGAGTGGTGAACTTTGTCAAACTCATTGACTGTGACATTTAGGTGTGAATTTTAAATATCATTGTCCCCAATTCAGTCTAGATATAGGCACTGTACCTTCCAGGAAATAGGTAGGTGGGTGCTCTAAGTTGGAGAGAAGCATTAGAAATAGGTATAGTGCACCATTAAAAAGCAGCATTAAATCTGAGTAAAATACAAAATGGAAAATAATCTGTACATCCTTGTCATCTAATTATCTTCCAAGAGTCCAAATAAATCTACTCAATTAAACAAAATAAAAAGAATTATCGTTGCTGAGATGAATGAAAAGACCGAAATAAATATTAAATGTGTCTAGTCATTTTCTGTAGGTTCCATCAAGGTGTTGAAAGTACTAATTAGAGTGCCACTAACCAACTCTGTTGAAGGCTGTAATAATAATAATAATCTTTATTTATAGGGAAATTTTGAAAATGCACGTTATGAAGTGCTTCACAAAGGCAGCAAAATAAAACAGACAAGTCATAAAATAGTAGCCCAATTTAACAGAGCACTTAATGGAGAAAATAAGTCTAATAAGACACAGAAGTAAGGGGTGACAAAAAATTATAAGACTGCTGGCATACAGCTCAATCTGTCAATGATTAGTCAAGCAAAGGCATTATATTTATTATCAGAGTTGACGTGCATTAAGTATTAACAACTGAAAAGCTTTATTTGGCGAAGTGCTGTCCTGCAGGTATTATAATTAAGTAATGTTACTAATCTGCTTTAATTGAAAGAAAAAAAAGAAAAAATCTGTCATTTCCATATAGAAAATGCTCATTTTGAAAGGTAACAGCCACAAAAGAAGGATTTAATCTCCCTTTTCACTCTGTGATCTCAGATAATAATGTGTTTCACAATATGTTTGGTCTTGCGGTCCCAGTGCAAATTCTGCGTTTGTTCAGAAAAGGGACCCAGAATGCTGTTTGTACCAACTGATGGAAAAAGGAACTCAAAATAACACAGTTTGAGTAAATAAAGATACAAGCTGCACGTCTGGTGGTTTTTGGGACCAGACTTGTGAAATTTAGTGTTTTAGCATTCTCACCAAATGCTTCAATGTTTTGTAACTGGGGGTGAAGGTTTAAGTGACATGGGAAATCTACCAGAGGAAATTAAATTAAGCCAGTTTAGAGGTAAAAGAAGTGAGAGCTATTCTCAAAGGCTTTTCTTATTTGGGTTTTTTTGGTTTTGCATGGGATCTGAAATGTACAGAATAGCATGTTTAAAACTGCGATGCATACCAGGTTTCACAGTGGTTGATCAAACACAGGATGATATTTCTATATTCCATTATCTGTATTGAAAGGCTGTATTAAACACCCGTGGTGAATGAGTAAGCCAGGCCTTCTGGTGAGATTATTTGAATATATTTCCAGCAGATACTTCTCCCAGTCATCCTGATGGAGGCACTCGAGGGCTTTTACTAGCTCTCTTAGCTGATAGCATCCATATGTTAAAAGAATAGCACCCTTTGAAATGAACAAATATTGATCATTATTAAACACAAACCCAGGGACCCCTTTGCATGTTACTGTGCGAAAAGCTTGTGAAAAGCTGCAATTATCATTAACTATGAAGATAAAATACCTTGAGTAAAGCACCCATGTCTCCAACAATTGGCAGGGCAGTCTGTCAAAAAAGGAAGAAAGTACAATCCATGAGACATTTCTACAGTCTAACAAATCTTCTTATGTTTTGGAAATATTTTGCTGCTGTTTGTTTGGTGGAACTGCATCTTGTAAATTGCTCAAAACATCAATTTATAAGATCATCGTAAATGCCTTTAAGGAATGTGACTTCACTCCAGAACATTTTTAACAAATTTCTGTTTCACTGTTTCATTTTCAGTTTTTATCTGCAACGCTTGAGGAAACGATTTAATAACTTTGTTGCTGGAAGTCAGAATCCTCGCATCTTTAAAATGCTGTTGTTCTCTGGAGTTGAGAAAAAGGGTTTGAATTGTAGTCCATGTATTTTTTTTAAACGGACAATAAGTAGTTTTCCTGGCTCTTTACAACATACTGTATGAATATAAAATACACTACGGCTACAACTACAGTAAATGTTCCTTATTCTAAACACATAAAGACACAAGACATGAAAACATGTGCTAACAACAGGGTGCTGCCAATTTGTCGTAAATGGCAACATCTTCCTGAAAGTGATGTTGGTTAGTGAACAGCAGGAATAGCTGCTAATTATCCGCAAACTTGAGCTGCTCTCTGAATACTGACTTTGAATTTAAGGTGAGCTCAGTAGTTTTCAATGCAGACCAGGGGTGTGAACTACAAAAATAAAATAAATTTTTGGATTTGCTTTGTTTTTTTACTTACTGGTTCACCTGGGGGTCCAGCAGGGCCTGGGGGGCCTGGTCTACCAGGGGGTCCCTTTAATTGAGACAAAGAAAGGAGTTAAAATCCTCCTGGCTACGACATCAAGCAGACATGTAAGGCTATAACTCCGCTTTCACACCCATCTCAGTTGGTGGGGATTTGTGTCCAGGAGCTGTGATACATTGTAGTTGCTCATCCACAGTGGGTAGCTGACATTTTTTTATGCTACCAGACGTCTTTTATGTGCAAGGGAATAAATAAGTGGAAGGGCAGACTGATCACACTCACCTCTCGTCCTGGATGGCCACCAGGGCCAGTAAAACCTGGGGGTCCTTGAGGGCCCTGAAAAAAAAACCCAGGCACTCCAATGATTTTAACATTCTTGCTTTAAACAGCCAGCTAGCAAGTGACAAACACTGCAGAGTGTTGTTTGCATTGTAAAATAATTGGAAGATCGCTGGTCACAGCCCCAAAGAGGCGAAAATCAGCGAAAATATACTTGAACATGCTGTTTGTGTGTTGTGGACCCAGAGAATTTTCCACAAACCTGGCTTCCTGGCTTTCCTGTAAGTCCCATGGGGCCCTAAGAACACATCACACATCTTGTTAACACCATCTGCCCTCTAGCACCCAGGATCCAATAAAGGAATTGTGTTAGACACCTTTTGCTCTATTGATTCTCTGTCTCCAACAATCCTGTATTTCAAAAATGAAAGCAGACTCACTCACAATCAAATCTGTGAGGTTCAAACTATCGGTGCAGAGCGTATGTGATGAAGGCAGAGTGCAATACGCCAGAACCTCACAGTAATGATCAGTGATTTCATCTACGAGTCTATTTAATGAACACTAATCTTAATATTTAGAAAGGATCTCTTTCTTTCAATGCCTAAAGACAATTGTCTGAAGATATCATAGTTTGAACAAAATAATGAATGTTGGAGACACAGACCAATCAATACAACATCATACTCACAGCCGGGCCTATGACACTCTCTCCAGGTTCGCCTTTTTCACCATGGTCTCCTGGCAATCCCGGGACACCTCTCTCACCCTGAAAAAAAGACAAGAGAGCAGTCAGTGGGGTTTCAGTGATAGTGAAACCAGAAGTCATGGGGAGCGGCTGCACTGCATGATCATTAAGCATTCAGACTCTGCCGGAACTCATTTTCCCTTTATGTTTTGCCTTTAGCTTCAAGGGAAAGAAACACAACTATGTTCAAGGCCAATGCATGCACATGTTCATTATCTACTTTATTTGAACTTATGCTTGTGTTTTGAACCACAGTATAATCAAATGTACTGTTGACATGACAACACCTTTGATAATAGGGGAATCTTTAGTGCAGTATTTTCAAAATTTGCTGCTAAACTCAGTATAATATTGTCAGAAAACCATTGAGCTATTTGAGTGGTATTATCTACTTGAGTGATTCCTAACCAGGGGTACATTATGGATATATGGTTAAGGTAGATATTTAAAAGTAATGGATAAAAAGTTGAAATACAGCAGTTAGCTTAAAGTGATGGATAAACAAATGCAAACTTGTCCAAACCACCTACACTGACTTACTGTAGGCTAACAATATCCACTTTTATACAATTAATAGTCTTAAAGGTCCAGTGTGTAACATTAAGAAGGATCTATTGGAAAATGGAATATAATATTCATATAGTCACCTGAAAATAAGAATTGTTGTGTTTTTGTTGCTGTGGAATGAGCCGTTTTGATCTATCTTTATCTTTTTAACAAGTCCTCTTCCACATGTTTCTACAGTAGCCCAGAAATAGAAAGCTAGATAGAGGCTTGGAAGGCTAAGCTGTATTCAAATGGTTGCAGTCTACAACTTCAACGCAAGATGTCACTAATTCCTACACACTGGACCTTTAAATAACATTCAGTTTAAAGTGATTTAAAATGAACATATTTGGAACATGTCGGGTGGTGTTGATGAAGGAGCTGGAGTTCATCTAACAGGACTGTGGAGGTAAGTCTGACAAAAACAACACTGATTTATCTTCTTAAAATAAAACATATCGCTGATATATCTGCAGAAGTTAACATAGTGGGCTGTATAGATGGTTGGGTTGGCAATGCTCCAACACCACAGTGCTTCCTACCTTGGGCCCGCGAGACCCTCTAGTTAGAGACAATCCATCGCCCTACAAAACAACAGGAAGAAGACATCAGAGTAGGGATTCACTGCACATTCATCAGCAATTCACTTTGATACCTAAGGTGCAACAAAAAAAAAAAGGTTTTCTTGTGCTGGAATTTAAACAGGAACATTGAATCTGTATGTGCTACGGTCCACAGTGCAAATACTGAATGAATACAGCATTGCATTATGAGCTCCTGTTCAATACTGATTACAACATTTCTAATAGTTTCTATGTACAGACGCAGACTGATAATGCCATGCCACGGAGAAAAACCTTGATTGGAATCGAGGCTACTGTAAGCATTATTTACTGTGCAGTTCAGATGAGACATTGATTTCTGTGGTCAGCATGTATTAGTGTTACAAGTCCTACATTGCACAATGTAAATTAGCTGTGCACAAGTTGGATTTGAACTAACACAGCATTTCTACAGTTTTAAAGGAGAAATGTACCAATTCACTCAAACATAAAAGAGAGAAAAGTTTGAAAAGAACAGAACTTTTTGAGACAAATACTATGATCCCAAGACTGCATTTTCTACTTTTTAAAAACCAATGGGAGATTGCTAATCTATGCAAAAAATAAACGTTAAAAGAAACAAAGAGTGAATTGTTCATTATTCAAAGGCAAAATCAATAAAGTGAGATTAGCTACTCGAGCAGGCTGACTCATTAAAGATGCTCAGACCATCTGCATTGAGTTCTGTTTATTGCTTTTTTCCTTGTCTTTGTCTTACATAACAAAGACCATAAAATGTTGAGAATCCATTTACCTCCAATGCCTTAAGACAGAGATGACATTCGTAAAAAGACTTTGCAGGATCTATGCAAAAGGATGGCCACTACAATAGAAATCTCACTTTGTTTAGCTTTTGAACTATGAGGTCACTGGCCTGCTGTAAACATCTCCCCTTGACACTTACACGCACACATATAGCCCTTTTTTCCAATCATACTTCAATTTTCACAGTGCTGGAGTACATTAAAGAGGTTTAAATACTTCTGCCTGAGTGCAATCTTTCCCTTATTACTCTGCTCAACTGAACACAGTACCCCCTTGCTTGATGAGTAGGCCTGCTGTCAGGCTTAATGTTCAGTGCCGCATTCCCACACACAAACAAACACGATTGTTTAAAGCCGTATAGCACTTGCCGGTGATTAAGGAGTGCAAGTGCCGTCAACCAGGACTGAGGCCTTGGCTGCACATGCACCGCCTTTTTGGTGAAGCTGTAATGAACATTTCTATATGCAAAGCCATGTCCATAAAAGAGAGTGCTTCAACGGCTATAAGCTCCAAAATGGGAGGATAGGTGATTACCAAGTGCTGGGGTTATCCAGTGGTGGATCACTTAATGGTATTGCATCTCCATAATGTCATGGCAGATACACAGCTGAAGAAGCTAGTTTCCTTTAACGTATCTCCTGCTGTTCCAGGTGTTTGCAGATGATCTGCTTTGTTAATTTTCCTTTGTTGTTTTCCTGTTTCGACACTAACAGTTTCTACTCCAGCCATTACCCAAGGACCAAAGCCAACAAGGTCAGATGAAAGTGACTGTCTAAACTCGATATGGTACCTACCACATATCCACCTCCAGGCTCTCCAGGCTCACCCTTAGGACCTGGAGGTCCCTGTAGCCCAATCACTCCACCAGTGTCCCCCTACAGATAGAATGACAGACAGTAATCAGATGCTGAATGAAAGACGCAAAATGTCAGACTGGCTCTGTCATCTCAACAATGCAAAGGATGTGAGGTTTTACACACAGGGAGGAGAACAAGGAAGAGTCTGGATGATAAAGCGGGGGCAGACAACATTTACCAGGATAATTTTGCATATCAATAAATGCACAGCTTCTGGCACTACTGCATGGACCCTTACAAAACCATCAAGTTTGTCGGTTGGAAATTAATGGAAACAGCAGTGACTGCTTTCTGACCCAAATATATTTGGTGACTCTTGTCATAGATACAATTTAATTTAAATGTTTTTAATGCTCTACCAAAAGAAGACATTTTGTTTATTTCTTATCTACCACCAAATGTGGAAAAAACCTTTTAGTGCCCTGTCTTTTGGAAACAGTAGCAATGTGGTTCCATATATGGCAGTGTTGGTGGGTTAGTCTGCTGCTTTAGTCTAAGCTGTAAAATCTCAAAACCTATTGGATGTATTGTCACAAAATTTGGGAAAAAGGATGGATCCTACTGACTTTCCCTCTACTGGCACCATTAGTATACTTTAGTTTGTGACCAAATGGCCTCAAAGATAATGACCATCAGCCTCAGCTGTACATTGCTAATTAGCAAATGTTAGCGAGCTAACACACTAAACAAGATGGTGACGATGGTATTATTCCCTGCAAAAAATCAGCATGTTAGCATTGCCACTGTAGCCTTTAACTAAAAGCACCAGTGTGCCAAAGAACAGCCTCACAGGGCTGTTAGGGTGCCTGTAGACTTCCAGTCTTGTTCTGCTTGTTTTTTCATGGGCAAGAAATAGTCTGGCACATAACCCCCAACAAAAACCCAACTTGTTGTTTTAACACTTCAGTTTTTGTATGGATCAAACAAACAAGCTACACTGTGTTAGTTACTGAGCTTTAGAGGTGCTGTTAGGGAGATTTATTTTGCGTAACCACAGAGCAAGTCTAAAGGCTCCGCTCCTGCTCCCAGTCTTTATGCTAAGCTAAGCTAATTGTCTCCTTGCGCTGGCTTCATATTTAGCGTACAGATTTATTCATGGACTACCACATGAATGTACAACCAGAACTGCCTCTTGCATCAGTACAGCAAAGATGACAAAGGAGGATTATAAATGTGAATGGATGCAGGAGGCTTAAGCACTTTAGGTTTATGTCTCTGCCCTGGAGTGTAACAGAATGACTCCAGTGGGTGGGGAGTCTTTGAGTACAGCTTCGTTTATTTTGACAAGTGACAAACCCCATCAAATATGCATGTCAACTGCGCAGTTTTCTACTTTCAGCACAGTATTTGGAACAAGTCCCCCCCAAAAATTTGTGTACAAATAACAGACTAGTCAGAGGCATCAAAGGCAAAAACACAAAGTTACAACATGATTGAGGATGGCATGCAGGGCGAATAATCTGAAAGGTGTCTTCACAAGTTGTCTAGCATGTTCAACCTGTGATAAAACATCATAGCTTCATATTTTTCTTTGAGGTGAGAACTTGATTTGAAGTTTACTTACCTTTTCTCCTTTTAGGCCATCTTTCCCTCGCTCCCCTGGCGAGCCCTGTAAATAGTGGTGAAAAGAGACACATCTATCACCAGGCCTTCATCTCCTCACACACATTTATCTCCTCCTCCTCACTGCTTCAGCGGGCTGCCGTGTTCCAACATAATTTCCCTTAGCCAGGATTTATGAAATGCCTCTTTTCCCTCCCTGCTTTTGAGTAAAGACAGATGCTCATTACCGAAGCAGGTGTGGAGAACAGATTGGGCCTCTGCCTCCGTTCCTGGCATAAAGCGCATAGATTTGCCTCTTTCCACTAATTAATTCTTAAATTTGATTACTGATCGTCTGTGTAAAAATTCTGGACTTTTCTTCCTATTTCCTCTCTGTCTCTGCCTGTTGACGTTTATCTGTTTATCTCTCTTTCAATTTGGCAGACTGAGTTAGAGAGTAGAGGATATGCAAGGTGATATAAAAGGCAATGAGAGAAAGGAAGGCTTGACATGAAGTGCTAGTGTCTAGTGCCAATATACTTACTGGCTCGCCTGGGAGTCCTGGGTGTCCAGGCAGGCCTTGCTTCCCCTGGCAAAACACAAAGGAAAACCAATACTTTGGGCTATTTTTCTCCCTTTGTTTGGTGACAAAATAGTCTGGGCTTTCGAATGTTATAGCCCATGCAGCTACATTGAAGACACCGACTTTCGAGAGCATTTCAAATAGCACTATTGTTTTAGTGCTGCCCCTAATGGCTTTTTAATAAACCACAGTTAGTTAATTACAGTAGGTTTGCATGCATGTTATTTCGAATAAAAGCTTATATCCGGGTCTTGCTGTTATTTAAGATCAGCTGTTTATATGCATTCCCCCTTTTGACTCATTATTGTCTTTGTATGCATGGATGAACTGAACGATCCACCTATTACCATGGAAACTGAGCTTAGGTTGAATGATAAGAACTGAGAAAAGTAGTATACAAGAATCAGCATCCTGGCTGCTCTTTATATACCCCTTTTCATGACTTGGATAAAACATATCACTGTGAGCGTTTTATAATATTGTCACGAACGTAATTCAAAGGAATACAAATTTCCTCAATGATTCATTTCAGTGTGTTTACAGTGAATGCATTTACAATACATAGATAAACTAAGCATTAGATTGTAAAAAGTGAAATATGTAATAATAAGTTTGCATTCAATTCCATATTCCAAAAACAAATAGTTACTTTGGTAATATTATAATTATTACCATGGAAACAAGACTTTCACCAACACTAGTTAAAGAAATGGTGTGAACATTGTCTTGAGCCAGTTGTTATGATCAAGTTCTGCAAGTAACATCAAATGATCTAAGATATTGGATCCAATTATTTTTAACACCTAAACTTAAGTAGCCTTCGTCTCACCGTATACAGGGCTCACCACTGTTTATAATCAGCAGGTTTTTAGACATCTCTGTTTGACCTCCTGTAAGTGGCACAGCAGATACGAGATAAACACAGTATAAGACTCACCTCTGGCCCTTGATCTCCCTTCAGCCCTGGCAGCCCTATGTTTCCCTGTTACATCACCAAAAAGGGCGAGGAAGAGTTAAGGGGTAGGCAAGAAAATGGTAGAGAAAAACATCAGAGTTTTAACTTGAGATTTTAGTTTTAGGCACAGCAACTCTAGAATATATACTGCTGAAAGAAAGCCTGTATATATTTGATTTCTTTCTCAATTCAGGATACTGTAGAACTGTAGGTTTGCCGGAGAGGCATAAAAGTCAACAACAGAAAGGAGTGAAGGTCTACTTCAGTCGCTACTAAAAGAGAATTACACTGGTGTGTCTAGAAATTTTATGCCCTCTGACAACAGCTCAAAAACACCTAAATGGATATCTACAGTATAATCTCTGGCATTTTGCAGGGCCATTGTCTAGCTCAAGATTTATAGTATGTGAAAGATTGTTTTTTTTTTCCTACAATAAAAACAACTGTTGCACAGACACTGTGGAAGGCTACACCAAGTGGTACTCAATGGACATAAAGGATGTATTTAAGCCTTATTTTGTTGACAGTGGATATCGATGGTCAAATTTAAGTTCAAGTGCTAAGTCTTCAACAACTTACCTTGAAGCCTTGTGGCCCTTGAGCTCCTCTCTCCCCCTGTAGAAAGTAAACCATAATTTCTCAAGACGTCCATAAAGAAAAAAGTAAGGCATTCCTCTGGCTGACTGGGGTAAGGTTTAAAAACATTTCCTCAAGGACCTTCATGAAGTTCACTTTCATGTTGTGTGAATGTTAAGAACGTGGAGTATTTATTTTGCCAAGTTTGCTTCCTTGTTGTGAGAATGTGAATATAATCAAAGCACCAACTTTTTCAAAAAAGAAAAATGTCACCTCTGAGATACCACATGTACCATATTTTGCCTCTATACCACTTACACTTATTATGGTCGTATGATGTGTTGTGATGCCTGCCATAATTCAGTATGTCTTTTCTCTTCACTTTTCTAACTTATTTTTCTTTATAATTTAAGTGTCTTTTGATGTTCGGTCAATAGCTGCGTGAATGGGGCTTTTTCAATCTGCTTGCCTCAAGTAAGATGCATCTGTTGTTTTTAGTTCCAAACAGTAATTGTACTCAAATGTATTCTGGGCTCCACCTCTGCAGAGCACAAAGACGGCGTTAAACTCTGAACAGCAGGTAAAGTTCAATTGTTCTTTCCGAAACCAAATGTCAGCGCTGCTTTTGTTAGAGTTACATAAGAAATATAAACATGTTTCATGCCGTAGTGTCAAATGTTGGATGCAATGTTTGAAAACTAATACTTTATACAATTTTCCTTTGGTTAAATTATCTTTACTGAAAAATAATATTGAGGGAAATGGTTACCTGGTCTCCCTTTTCTCCCTTTTGGGTCCTCTCCTTCATTTCATCCTCAAACACAAGAGAAAACAGAACATTTCAAAATCTGACTGAAGTATGCCTTGTGTACTATTTGAACAGCAACCACAGAAAAAAGATGCCATACATTAACATTTCAAGTTTTATGATGTGAACAGCTGCTTACAGTTCCAGAGAGCTGTCTTAATCCGTGAGCTGTCATCACCTAGAAGTAATGAAAAAGTGTTCGCTGAACAGTCTCCACTGATCTCGCAATTACAGCAAGTAAAAGACAGAAAAACACTCCTCTGAAATGTTGATTGTTTTTAAAGGCAATATACGGCAGAAGTAACAACAACTTCTTGATTCACAAACACATGTGCCCAACCTTGAACCTCATATTACCAATCTGAACCTAGGTTTGATTAGAAAAAAATGAAACACTATTTAGAGTGTTTTTCTTTTATATCTTCAGTAAAGCTCAGAAATCAAATGAAATGGAAGGACAAAGGTCAAGACCAACCAGCTAAGATGGACTAATTCCTGTAACTGCTTTGGGTAAAGAGGAGAAATGTCCACGATATCCCCAAATAAAGCAGCAATTCAAAGTGTTTCTACAGAGCTACTTGATCCTAAAATCATTATTTTTGCTGGTTACACATCTTACCAAAAACCTGATTTAGACCTGGCATTGCAGTACTTCAAATAATAATACAGGTATAAATACACACTAATTATTATATATTATTCAGTGGCAAAATGACTGACATAAGTGACCACACTGAACACAAATGGACATGCAAATATATTTAACTCCACAAATGTATAAAAAGAAATTTCCAGTTGGCTTTTTCTGTCACTTAAAATATCAAGAAATTGTCCCTATAATGCAGTTTTAAGAATGGCTACAATTATTTGTCAAAGCACCCACACACCAGGTAAAGGTGGAACGGTGCAGTCACTGATTATATGAGTGATTGTTTTAGTTGGACTGTTCATGATAACATTTCAGTGCCGTCACTGGAGACACATATTGATTGCAGGTGGCACAGGCACATCTCGATATAATCTGGATTTGAGATGCACGATACAATCTTGGTATGAACTGCAGAAAAAGGGTTTTCAAGGGAGGCGAGTGTTTAAAGCCCAATGTATTAAAAACTGAGCAAAGCAAGGGAGAAAATTGAATTATCTATCTATAATCATCAGATTCTCATTACAATTGAATGTTCTCAGGCCCTTTGTGTTATGTTAACTGCATGTTTCACCCTTGTATGCCGTTATAACCAGTTCAGTCTTGATGGTTTTAGCATAATGAAAAGGAAGGAAGAGACAATAGAAGCAATCTTGGTACTGAAAGCCATATCCAGGTGGGGTAAATTTCGGTCCCCCTATGGCACTTTGCCACTGGTTTCTTCTTTTTTTTCCATTTAGGATGTTTTGTCCTTGTTTCCTGGCAAAATGTGTGCCTCTGAGCCCTTGAGTGTTACTGTGATTAGGTCTATACAGTACAAATAAACCTGACATGAAGAGAGCCTCCTTTAGCAATATGGTCAAAGTAACCTTCAGTAAGGTACTGACTGACTATCCCAGTGGAGTGTCTGCATAATGAGCCAACCTTCAACCTGCAGTCACTCACTTAAGCAGCTGCTGTCAATGTTCTTGCTTCACATACTAAACAATATCCCAGGTCCATCACTATGCGACCAAATAAGATTCTCTGCGTGGAACCTTTTACTAAACATACCTTGGAATAACATATTCAGTTTAATAGATGATAAAACTTGTTGTATTGTAAAGCAATACTGGCAACAATAATAAAAAAGGACTGTCGCAGAGCTGAAACTGACTGTTTTGCCACTTTAAGGGCAGTGGGGGAAGTGATGGCCGTGCATGCCTGTAAGCCTACTGCTCCTCCCCGTCACTAATAAACAGAGGCACAAGAAGGTTTATGAAGAGAGGGTAATGATCTGAACCCTTACTTCTGCTGTGTAAGGGAAATCAATGCTTAACTGCCAAAATGATCTGCCACGGGAAAGCAGAGAACACAGACAGAGACTGGCACTAAATATTCAAACAGCCTCATTTATCAAATGACTAATGTTTTCCCCTCTGCTGTATGCTATATTATACACCTCTTATATCCTGTGTGACCCATACCTCACTACACAACAATGAATACAACTGTATGTGTTGTGATAGAAAATGTATATATCTTCTTCCCTCAGCTGAAATGAAATTTAGGGAAAGGAGACAACTATTCAAAAATAATTGCAAAGCAAGACCTCAGTGTTTTGAACAGCCATTAAAACCTCCTGCACTGATATCTATTGTTATTAAGAAAAAAGACTTTTTGTTGGTTAGACAGAAACCAGTGAAACCAGTGGAGAGGGAGTGATATTTGTTTGCTATATAATTAAGTTGTCTAATTTCCATATGAATATCTTGCTAACAAGCAATGACAATGGGAATAGGAATGAAAGGAATCCAACTTTGTTTCCAAGCTCATGTTTGAAGACTTCAGAGACTCAATAGGCAGCAGATATTTAAAACAAAACCCATTAGGACAGAGTCATTTAAATGTCAAACCCCTCACTTTGTGGCTCCAACACCATGTTTTCATTTGACACTTTTTTATGCTTAAATTTCTATTTTTTCTTTAAAAGGGTAGTCATAGTTGCAGCGTGTCATTACTGCCCCCTTGTTGATTTTTAACTGATTTGTCACAGTGCAGTTTGACTTTAAAATGTCTAAGCAATGAGTTCTATCATCCTAGCACCACCCACTCGGTGTCACCTTCAGCGCACATCAGACAACCACTATGACGTCAGAGTTTCTCTGTTTTTAGCTGCTTCTCCAATAAACCTGCACTAGCGTCTTCCAACAGAATGTTTCTATAATTAAAATTATGAACATTATGAACAGGTCATGTACTGCACGGCTCCCACTAATTCACACTATAAATATTTTTTTTGTTCCAAGCGAAAGACTACGGCATCGGTGGGTGATGGCCAGTGAAAATGTTTTAATTTAATACTAGATACACAGGAAATCACAGTACACAGCTTTCTATGCCTGCCCAAGTTATTTTATGCATACTTCTTTGCTGTGGATAATGCTAAAAAATAACTCACTGGGAGCTTGCTGCCAAATATCCGTGAGTTCATTACCTGAAAAAAACAAAACAAGGAAGATCTCCCTCTGACAAATACAACACGACTATTCTCAACTGCCTTGAAAAGGCTGCCCATGTTTCATGCCCTTTTTTTCAACATTGATACAGTGTTTGTACAGAAAAAAATGTTTTAAAAAAAAAAACTACAAATCTGAAGATAGAACAAATCTACAGGCTTGTCAAAGAATGGGAATTGGTTATAAGATGACATGCCACCATGTTGGAGGTGTGACAACAAAGATAAACACTGCTCTGCTGCTGCTTTTTCCTGGTCCCCACATTTTTCATAGTACACAGTTTACTGATGCACAAAAGTTGCACAGTTTCTTAAGTTGTAGAGAACAGAGCACTAATGCTATAATCAATTATTTTGTTGTTACCCAACATGGTGTGGTGTCAAAACATTGATGGAATCACACAACAAAATTGACAACGAACACTATTCTGTAAGGTAGGCTTTTACCATTATATTGTACTTACAGGACCAGGAGGACCAGGGGGGCCAACATCGCCCTGAAAATACAGCAGAAACAAAATATCAATCACTACAGCTTGATAGACAGGGAGACAAAAACAAGACAGCGCCCAAAAATGAGAAAAAATATACAGCATAAAAATGCACTTGAGAAAATACTTCTGAAAGCATGCCACAGGTGACCTCGAACAACTGCATCAATAGGTTTTGGAGCAACAATAAAGAGGCAATAACATGACCAGACTTCAGAGAAAATACTGTCTAACTCAAGTGAGGAAAGCCCTGAAATGAGTGGAAAGAAAACATTAAAGCATTCTTGTTAAAAAGCATACTGTGATGCTGTGCATTTCATGCGCATCATGTAGAATGTTGCAGTATTCATCGTGTGTGTGTATATATACTTATACAGTGTATAACCCTTTGTAATGGGTGCATTGGGTGCTCCGGGGAACCGTAGAAGGCTCTTAATTGTGATGCATTGCATTTGGGAGCCTCCATTCTTCCATTCATAATTTACAAGCTATAACTTTCATGCTTTAAATAAAACAAGGTAACACAGCACGACATCTGTGTATATACAGTACGATAAACAACTAAAAAGTACTCAGAGAATGCATGCTGTACCTTACCAAACCTTCACAATCCTCTACATTTTTTATTCTAAAAAGTTTTTTTAAGTTTTTAATCCCCGTGGATCAAAATACACATGATGATAGACAGTCATGCTGATTTTAGGAGAATATAAAAATGATCTAAGGCACATTTCTTGAATATAATTAAACCAGCAGTTTCAGTCCCCCAGTTTCACCGGGTCATGATTTCTGGAAAATAGACATTGCTGTTAAATTTTCCAAATACATTTTTTTTGACGCATTGAGCAACACAAACCGAGTGGTTCCATTATACCTGAGAGAAGGCAATATTTTTGATTTTGGGGTGAATCATCCCTTTAAGGGTTTAATTAAACAAGTCAATCAGGTAGCCATGCTAACAGCATAGCTCTAGGGATGGCAATGTTGGCCGGTCCATCACTTTGGTCCAGGCGGAAATATTATTGTTTGATGAACTGCAGTGACATTTTATACAGACATTCATGGTTCCCAGAGGATGAATCCTACTGACATTGGTGATCCCCTGACTTATTTTTTCATCTAGAGCCACCAGAAGGTTTCAAGGTCTACTGGATACATTAGCACACAGTTGTACACATACAGTCACAGTGTCCAACTATTTATCCCAATGACTTTGGTGATCTTCCTCTAGCGTCACAATGAGGTTGACATTTATGCTTTGGATGAAACGTCTTCCCAAATATTGGATGAATTCTCAGGAAAATGTTATTCACACATTCATGCCTCCCTCAGGATGAATTGCACTTTGGTTGCTGTAATGATTTTTCATCTGTCATCATCCGCAGGTATAATGTTTAACATTACTATCAGCATTTAAGCATATTCATTGTGAGCATTTAGCAGCACTGTGCCCACACACAGCCTCACAGAGCCGCTAGCATGGCTGTACACTCCTAGTCTTGCTTTGCAAACAATTGCAATCCACTGAACTCTATAAAATTGATTGAAATCTGGTTTCTGATTTTACTCTTTCAGCCTAAAAGTGCTTAGTATAGAATTCCAAACTTCCTCCCTTTTAAGGAGACTTTTTTAATCTTTGACCGTGAGTTGAGTTACGGTCATTTCAATTTATTGCATTGCTTTGAAATGCCATCAAATTTCAACAGGACTGTCCAGAGTACCTTTCGTATGACTGCAGAGGGCATTCAAGAATTAATAATAAATAGACAATACATACTGTACTGATTATGTACTGATTTTGATTAAGATTGAATGAAATTGGTAGCAAGTGTATATGTGCGTGATAAGTGAATCTGTGAAAATGGTGAGTTAGGCTACTCACACTTCAAATGCCAGGACTTATTGGAAGAAATGTAAAGTGTGTTGTAAATGCTCAGATGATGGCACTGTCTGCACATACAATAATACTTTCTTTCTTGACACATGGCCCAACTTCCCTGAAGATTTAGCTGATTTTTTGTGGCAGATAAACAAACAATCTGAGGTAATTAAATAAAAGACATAAGGGCAAAACTGAAAACCCTCGCCTTGGTTCTGTGCATCCTGCAGGGGGTTTCAGAGGAAACAGGGGAAGATAACTAACTCAAAAGGTTTAGTCTCTGAATTCTGGTATATCGTATCATACCAATTATATTGCTTGAACTACCTTACCTCCACCACCTTTTTCTCTTCTTTCCTCCACATATATAAGCCAAGTCTCAGCGAGCACAAACAGAGGGAATCACCACGTATGACACTTGACATTGATGTGACTTACTTTTTGTCCTTTCATCCCGCTGCCCCCCTCAGCACCTGGCTGACCCTGTGGGAGGAGGCCTTGGTTAATGACTCTGTAACACAAAGGCATTGTAAATGTCACTGCAGGAAAATACGTACCGGGTCTCCTCTCTCTCCTTTCTCCCCTTTTCCCGCTGGGACTCCAGGCTCACCCTGTATGTGAACAGAGCATTGACAGTGACTGACAGCAAAGGCACGGCAAAAAGACAGAAAGCTCAGAGAGTGAAACCAAGGCAAGGGCAGATGTTATGAATAAGTAATCAGAAAAAAAATAGTTTGTAATTATGGTAGGAAAAAAAGAAACTGCGAGACTATGGGGTTGTAAGTCCAGCAGTATAATGAAAAACTTAAGCCCCTGTTGCATTGCAGCACTTTTCCACGTTTTCATGTTAAAATCATTCCCCTGTCTGCCAATAGATGGCACTTTATGACTGCTTATGAGCTTTCCTTTGAGTATTTTTAATAAGATTTCTTCCTGTCAGTTATGTGGAGAATACTAAGTAAACACAACTGTAAAACAAATGGAGTTGCACCTTGGTCAAGACACACAGTGAATGAATAATTAAAAAGATTTATGAAAGAGTTCTGAAAGAGATTTTTTAATATATATATATACATATAGACACATCATACTGTATGCATTTCCCACCTCATTATTACGAGTTATTATTTCAACAGAAGAGTGGTAATTAATGAACCAAATGCATCTGGAGTAGGAGAAATGCATGGCTTCACATCTCCTGACACGCTTAATAAAGCTCACTTGTGACGTTTTGTTCTTTTCCAAACAGTAACACACATGGCAGAGAACCAAAAATAAAGGGTTGTTCATCAAAGATTATTGTTGTTTTGCGTGATATGTGTAAAGATTTGTAGGGAACGCTTTAGATACTCCATGCTGAGACATTATGGAGCATCTGTTTAGCAATCTGAGAAAGGTTGCAGCGTATTTGCACACTCCTTAGCAGCGCCTTGTCTCTAACAGACAATAATTGCCATTCAGTTTCAGCCCATCCTCCATTACTTCGACTCACTAATGAATGCCACCGCGATACCATTCATTTAATAAGATATAGTCACTGTTTCCTCGTCTAAATTATGAGCTGTTATTAAGTCAGCACACTGCACCCATGTGTAAACAGATGGATTGTCCTATTAATATTTTAGGCGGGGAGGACGGACAAGTGACAGAATTGACTTTGAGTGCTAATTGAATTCTGCACAGGTTTATCAGCCACACAGGATCTCATGATTTTACCACCATAGCCTTATTAATTATAACATTGTACAATCTCTGTCTTACAGTAACTGTAAACCACATGCTATGCTGCTTTCCCTTTGTTGAAGCAGTTTGCACTGAGTTATGACTGACATTCAATGTAAATCACATCTAAGGGAAAGTTGGTATTAGCCCGGGATGTCACTGGTTGTAAAAATGTTGTGTGCTGTATTCTAGCATAGACTGGTGGCAAAATATGTCTGTCGTTATCATTGTTAGATCTCCGTGGAATATCATTCAAAGTCAATTTATTTGGCAGAGGGGTATGTAACAAGTTAATAAACCTTTCAAATGAGATTAACTGCAGCACAGGCAGTATTTATCCAGATTATCACTGTATTTACACAATGAGAAAGCCCAGCGTATATAGGACAGGGAACTGGTCCACCTGTGGAAGTCTGTGGGTGATGTTGACTTTGAGGCACCTCGAGTCATCAAACTGCAATTAAGCCTGTCTGCATCCTTCTCCGTCTCTCCATCAATATCTGCAGTGTTCTGTCAGAGCCTGTTTGAGACTGTCAGCAGGAGATACAGTTATGGAGATGTGATTCATGAGAACACTGTCTTCCCAGCACATCATTCACCGCACAGAGCCTTTTTTTCTGACTTTAAAACATTCACACTCTGCCGAGTGAGGGAGAGGGGGCTCAGCTCACAGATGTTACACAAGCTGTAGTTTAGTCTAACTTGTGTCTGTTTTGTCCAAACTAAAAGATGCACAAGGACGGCCACTGAGATGTAGGGAGAATCCCTGATGCTTCTCAATTATTACTGCTCATGGAAACTGTTACTTTCCATTCCTCTCTGTGACGGTTATCTCCCCTTACTTATCATGTTGGATTGTGTAAATTCCTTTAAATGCATGGCTATACTTGTTTCACTTTAGCAGATTAGAATGGGAAGCGATTTTCTGAGACAAGCGAATTTTCTTGTCATCCACAGTAAGCATGAATTTATAATGACAAAGCAAAGATGTATCCGTAATGTAAGAGCATGACTGATTCATGGCAAGGGCAAGGCTAGCATGCACATTTAATGTGAGCATTACAGTATTGAAACAATGTTTCTCAGCACCACAACTATACCTAACATCAGGATGAGTCAGTGGTCTTAAAACGAATGCTTGAATCATATTCTTTAACCATAATGCTTTAATCTAATCTCAAATTGATAACTTTGGTCACCTGCAGGTGTTACTCATACCTTTCATCATTCTGAATTCAGAGACTTTTTCAAAAACGTGTAAACTTTTACACACACTGACAATATATAATAATTATTTGCTATTGTTACATTATATGTCTTTTTCTTCAGTGTCTTCAGCCATTTATTTAACAAAAGACCTATGAAAGTGAAATAGCAATTGCAAAAATGATGCTGAACCCGCAATGTCAGAGCTGTTTTGCTTTCTGCCAATCCTTGGTTTGAGTTTTATAGCTTTATTTTATCATATGTGATAGTGAGATACTAAAGCTGCAACTCAACAACCAATTACAGGAAACACATAAAAACTTAATCAAGGTAACCTCTGTTTGTCATTTTATTCTTAAGCTCGACTTGCAAGGACATGGTAATACTATGTAATTTTTCATCCGAAACCACTATCCATTGTGCCTCCGCCTATAGCATACCTACTGCAATGATCCCATTTGTTTTGAGGTATAATAAGTATGTCCTCATACAGACAACTTTCTTTTTCAAGGTTGGCCAGCTGACACTTCTCCTTCCTCTGGGCAGAGGGAGCAGGAGGAATTCTGCGGCCTGAGCTGACACCCCAGCAAACGACGCACCTATACATCAAATGAACAGCTGCGGTCAAGAGGTTGTCCACTACACAATAGCTTTCACTCTCAGCGTGATCACAAGTGGGCCACTGGAGGCCTGGTGGGTGGTGTGTGGGTGCTGAGGGGGTGGGGTAGGGTTTGTGAAGGAAGAAGGTAGCAAAAGAGACAGCAGGAGGCCTGGTAGAGGTCCATGTCTGAGAGTTTTTTTACACCATATATCTCATGTGCCTCTGGTGAGCTACAGCACCCCTGGGCTTCATGAAAATGATTGCAGACCCTTTTTGCAAAAGCACTGTACGTAATGGCCATCTGTCTGTTTGGAGTGTGAGCACTGAGTCACACTGCGCTGCGCTGCAGGAGGTGCAGGGTGGGAACAGCTATTTAACTTGCACAGCTGATAGGCTACAATTGACTGAAAGGTGCCATTTGAGAGAGATCAGCCACTGACTAAAAACACAAAGATTTCAGTCAAGGACAGAGGTCTGGTAATATGTGTGTGTGGCTGGCTTCTTTTAGAAAACAATTTAAACACGGTACATCTTTATACAGACAACACAGCGCAGATGATTAAACTCCTTGGCTATTTAGAGGACTGCTACAGTGAACACTGCTCAGTCATCTTGACAATTCGCCCATGCTGGAAGTGCAGGTAAGGGCCAGTTTATCAAAAAAGGAGACAGCTCAAATCTACTTTAAATGCCACATGTCAGTACTTTGCTTTGTGACGAATAATGTTTTGAGTGATACCTTGACACTTGCTCCGTCAGAGTTTCCAGAGGGACCCTGCAATTACAAGCAATGAAATAGTCTTTTCACACAGAGAAACGATAATTGAGTCACAAAAAGACTATTATATGAACACTGTTGAATAGAGCATGTGTTTTTTTTTTCATCATCACACTTTAACCATCCTAAGCCTTTCCCCCCCCAATTTAAACCTGCAAGTTTACTTGAAAAATATTCCTATTTACAGCAAAGGCCTTGTATTATATTATTTATAACCTTTGCACTAATGCTAGCTCTCATAATGATGTGGCTGGACCCCAGCAGTCTATAGATTATCTTTGAGCGAGTCTTTGTTGTGTGCCTTTCACAGACTTTCCTGTTGTCGTGCAATGCTAATTTGACATTGAAAAATAACCGCTGCCCCCTCAACTGCGAGCACTATCCTGCTGCCAATGGACAACAGAGAGTGATGCCCTGGTGTGTGTTTTGAATAGATGATTTTGCCCCTGAGATCTACCTCAGCAAAACAGGTGACTCATAAATGCCAATACCAGGGGATGGAGGCAAATCTGGCACATGCTAAGGGTATCATCAGGACATTGCCATTTAGAAATGTCACACCTTCTCCATCCTGTCTTTCTTTTGTCCTACGACTTTGTGTCCTACAACTTTATGAGTTATTAAGGAGGCAGGAGATTCTTTGAGTCATGTGGGAGAGGTTTAACAGTGAGTAGCTCGATTATACTAAAGATAATTGAACCTATTGAGCATAACGGTGATAGAAGAAGAACAGAATCTTTCTGGATTTCTGGATGAAATGAAAAAAGAGAAACCCTATGTCCTGATCAAGAGCGTAATCAGAGCAATAGGGCATGAAAATAATTGGACACCCAAAGCATCAGAGCTACATGATGCCTAAACAGTTGTCCTGTCATCAGAGCAGTTAAGAGTCTGACAAGCTGTCTCCTTTAACGCATTGTGGTGTTTGTACTCTTTAGTGTGTGGGTCACTACACAAACACACAAACGGTGTCTCGGATTGGTCTGGATGCCTGAGGAAAATACCATAATTCAAGGAGTCAACGGGCCTTACAGGCAGACTTGTCCTACTCATCAATAGAAGCATTCTCAAGTGCTACCTTAATATACCCCTTGTGGTTTTGTACTAATAATATAGCGTGCTTGCAGCAGTATGGGAGACAATTCTGAACGGATCAATATAGCCCGTGTGATTGCTCTTTCTAAGCTTGTATTGCATGTCTGCTGTGACTGTTTGCTTTAATATGGTTTTATAATTACGATGACTTTGTAACTTTTGTAATGTGTCAGATTTTGCAGTTTATCTTTTTACCTTAAATCAATAGGTAACATTTCTGAACAGTGTGTGCATTTGTTACTGTATATCACTTACAGGCAGGCCTCTGGGTCCAGGCTCTCCAGGCTTTCCTCTCCGTCCCTACGGAAAGCACAAAAAAAAGATTAAGATGAGTGAGTGAAGATGCAACAACAGGTGTAGCTGTGCATACATGCTGCCAGCAATTAAGGCTAGACAGCAACTCCTGCCGCAGTCTCTAATTTGCTTTTAATTAACAACAAGAAAACAGCTTAATTGCTGCACCCCGTGTGGCCCACTAGTCTTTGTTCCCTCCTCTGGTTTACTGCCTCCTTTCCAGCTGTGTGAGTCCCTTAGTGCATTAATCAACCCAAGGAGCAGATACAGCAGCAAACAGGCCAAACCAGCCAGCGTTGTCCAGCATTGCAAATTAGGTCAGAAGGAAACGACCATTTTGAACCATTTTGCTTGTTTCAAGGCAGGGTTGTTGTTTTTTTTGGACAGATTTTGTGAATTGCAAAACGGCCTTAATGCTTGAGAGTCTGCGAGTTTTGGAAAGCTGACATCTTAATGAGATGTAATGCTATCTGAACCAAACCAAAGTTGGTATAATTTACATCAAGGGGGTTTATGTCCTCATGAGAAAAGAGGATAAAGCTCTGTGGATATCCCTACAGCTATGCTAAAAACTGGCAGAGCATCACTGGTGTGTTATGAGTGCCTGGAATTAGCTGGCTTTCACACACACACACAAGACGGATGTAAAATCAACTCAATTAGCAGATGGTAATACTCTGGCCAATATCAATTCACTGTACAGCAGCGTAATCAACGGCAGAAGTGTGAGACAATGCAGATAACGGTATCATGGCTAAATACGATTACCTCTTTCTAATAGCAGTTTCATCATCTGACACAATTGCTATATCGAAACATTGTATTTCTCTCCTACTGTATGTGTCATTATGGGTGACACACAAAAAACACTTCTTTGCTCCACCGAGTTAGTGGTGGTGTAGATCTATGGAGAGGGAAGGATCAGTGGCTGCTGAAAGTAGAGAATCCAAAGCAACGCCCCCGATTCTTTCCTCTGACACTCCATGTACGCAGACTTTGATTAACTGGGTCGAATTTGACATGTGCGTTTGCTTGCAACAAAGACAAATGAAGGAACTTCACTGAGAGCTATTGCTTTTAATCATCCGTTTGCACGTGTGCTTGCTGTGTGTGTTTCTCTTGTTTGAAGTCCACAGATTACAGGACTGTGAAACCAGCAGAAGCCAAGGTGTAGTACAGCAAATATTAACCTTAATAATGACACAGTGGAACCAGTGTGTGCCTACTCATGGGAATTGTGTGCCGCTGTTTTATGTACCAACAAAGCCTTGGTCAGCGTCTTTTGATCATCGGTGTTAATGGAGCTGCGAAGCTACATGTGCTTTAATGTGAGCATGAATGAGTTCAACGTCAAGAAGAGCTGGGAGATGTCAAAACGTGTTGCTGTGTAGGAACATCACCTTTAAATGTTAAAATCCTTTGCTTCAAATGACTGACATTATATTGCATTAGGTAACCTCTTTGAAATGTAACTGAGCTGGGCTAGCTTTCGTGGCATGAAAAGAGCAGTCAGAGAAGCAGCCAAAGTATCCAATGATTGCCTGTGTACTGGAGTGCTATATGTAGATACAAAACCCATCACTTTTATGCACAGCAAATGCTTTAATTCTCACAAACAAAGATGGCATTTTGGTGTGGATGGACGCTGTTATTTGTTCTCTTTCACTGATAATAAATCGGCTGACTCTGCTACGTTTGCAGAAAAGACCAGAATGTTTGTTCGCCTTAGCACCCGCTGCTGCCCTTTCTCCCCTGAACTCGACAACAAAAGCAGATTACATAGATAAGTAATTTAGCTAATGAATATTTCATATGTTATTATTCCAAGCAGGTCATGAATTATGCAGTTTTTAAAATTATTTCTCCACATTTGCCCTTAAATCTTTTAACACCAAAGTGCACATGAACTTTATGTCCATGAATTTGCATATTATCATCAAAATAAACAGCAGTACTCTAGATATCAACAAATTAAGTCAGAACAACTAAATGATGATCTGGCGTTTATTCCATATTATTAATTTCCAAAGCTTACTTGTACAGTTTCACCTGTGTTATAAAGTTTTAAAATGGTTCTTTATAAGGTGGTTTAATTTTGCTTTCCTACTGTCTGAAAAAACATAATGCTGTCGTACATTCTGCTCACAAAAAGAAATACTGACCTTAATCTTGGATTACTGCCAGTGTGGCCAACTAATTTTCAAATGAAGTTGCTATAGGCAGGTCGATTTGTTGCTAAAGTTCCTAAATAAATTGTAATTGCGTGCTGACATCATTATGTAATGACGTAAAACTACATCGTTACGTAGAATATAAAGTGACGTTACTCAAATTGACTGGTCATCTGATTTGAAATTTGTTAGTTTATTATCTCATATTTTTATTTGCAAAAGTAATATGAACACATGTTTTATTATCAGATGTGCTTAATTTTTAAACACAGTACATCATATATTTGTCTTATTCATGTTTTTATTGTCACACAGTAAAACCTACAGTAAGCCCACACATGAACAACTGTAGTTGTCGTTTATTGCTTGCTAACAACAAAAATAACAATGTATCAAACCAACAAGGTGTAAGATTATTGAACAACTGCAACTATCAAGCTCAAGCAAGGTGTATATAGATTTTCTATTTAATTTTCTTGATTAGTAATAAAACTGAACAATTATAGTTACCTAGTTATAGTGCAGAGTGTTGGTGATTAACATGCCACCTACCTATTAAACAATTATACTGTAGGTACAAGCTACTTGCTAATAACAAGGAATGTCATTTTAGCATTTGCGTGACTTTTCAAAAGTTGCTCTTCTAAATATATTTTAAAAGTACCTACATTTTGTTGCTTGGTGCTGTTTGAAAAAAAATAAAACTGGGTAGACAGAAAAAGTGCTATATCCAACAACAAAATTGCTAAATTGGCACCACTGATTACTGCCTTTATCACTGGATTGATACTCTCTTGCCAGTTAGGTATACCTACCTTAAATTAGTGCACTGTAATAAAATGGCCCAGGTATAAATCCTACCTTTAAGATGATAATAATACATTTTTGTAGAGATGTGTTGATTAAACTTTAAGGTTATGTGGAAGGTGTAGTTTGTGTTGCTGAATTGTATTGTCTTATACTGAGAGGTGTTTCTAATATTTAGTCTGCCCTCATTGACATCTGATGACATCATCTTTTTTTCATTGAATATTCATAAACAACAACAGCTTGTCATTTTCGCAATAAAGCAGTCCATTAAAAAGACTCCACCAAGTGACCTTGGGGTTAGACTGACACTTTTCTGTCTAGAGGACCTGTGGTTAGCACGCCATCCCCGACAAATCTGTGCACAGTGACAAGAAATAATTAGTCCGGAGCACAGCTGTCATCACCGTTTGAACTCAGTTGACTCTCCAAACTGAAACACCTGCCAGTGACACGGCGAGATAACTGCCTCTGAAGGGACATACTGGCTCTGGAATATTGAGATAATCAAGACGCCAGGAACCACCGTAGTGCCCACGAGCACCCAAATACTACAGGTTAGTAGTTAGCAGGTAGCAAGTGTGTTTCAGAGTATTAACTTATTAATTCTTTGTTAATGCCATTTCAATAACTTGTTCAATTCTAAATGTCATGTTTGGACCTCCATAAGTGTAGCTAAAGGGAAACTCTGACATCTCAGATTGCAGTCATTTTATAATCATGTTTGTTCATGTTAGAGATGTTTTTCTTTGGTTACTTTAAAAACAATTGGTTGGTGTGTTGTCTCTGCAGAAAACAATAGACTCTTATTTGTTTTAACAAAACTAAATTTATAATTTCACCTTTCACAGTAATAAAAATACATTTGATGCTAAAATTGTGTATAGACTTGTCATTGTCAACATTACAAGGATTTAAATGATGATGATGATGACTGTAGTTTAAAAATATCAAAACTGCTCATTTCCAAAATTCAAAGCAAATTCCAAGAATTCCAGACGTTATACAAAGCTTCATTGTTTGTCTTATGTTTTCTTAGTTTTGTCTTATTGTCCTGTTTGTTTTAACTGGTAGACACAACACTATAAGAAAGATAAGTGTCAGAGGTGACAAGCAGTCCAAAGCAGTCTCTAGGCAACAAGGACGAACAGGAAACTGAAATTCAGGATTTTAACGTCAAATAAAGAAAGAACAAAAGAAAGAAAAGAAATGTGACACGAAGTAAAAAAAAGAGAAGGATTTTAGTGACAGCAAAAGAGCAGCCTGCATTTGGACTCGGACCACTGGGTAAATGGATATTTTGCTCTGCTATATTCAAGTCACTTTTAAACTTAATACCACCTCTGTATGCCAAAATGCCATAGTAAAATATGTCAACATGATGATAATTATAACTTGAACTGCAAGCCAAAAAGACCAGCCAGCAGTGTCTATGGATCTTTTCTTTCAGCTAAGCCAACCTTCACTTTCTCATTTCCTTTTCTGCCTCTCCATCTCTCATTTATCTCTCCCTTTGTGTATAATATCATACTTCCATTGCTCCCATCTCATTCCTCTATCCTGTCTCCTGTTTTTCTTGTCATCTCTCCTTCCTTCTTCTGTCTCCTGTCACTTGCCCCGTTTCTCCCTCACCCAACTTCCAGCTCCTGTTGGATCACCCTGGCAATCTCTGTTGCTATGCAACGCTCAGTGTCCTATAAATTTGACAACATCCTAGTGCTTGATTATTATTTGAGCGCTGCAGTGTGAAGCCCTCCTTCAGGTCATTGCAGTAGATTAGAGGGAGGGAGAGATAGAGGAAGGCAAGGAAGGAAATGAGGGATGAGATGGGAGGGAAGGAAGGAGGTAGAGAAATATGAAGGGATTGTGGAGATGCGCAGGGGAAAGAGACAGAGTCGAAGTAAAAGATAAACTAGCTTCTCCAGTAAATGAAAGATGGGCTGGCAACACCAAACACATATTCACAAGTACTATTTATCTGTTCTGCTCTAAAAACCTGCAAACCATATAACAGAAGTGTGGGAAGCA